GACCCGGTCTGGGAGAAGCAGTGTGCAGTGCTTAGGGCTTAGGCTCCTGTGTGACACTGCCAGGGTTCACTAGTTTGTTTACCTCTTTCATGTGTAATATGAGGGTAATAAGAGTCGAGATGTCCCAAGGAAATGAATAATGGTTATTATGCACTTTGCATGTAGTATGACTAAGTGTTCAGTAAGTTTGAGTCATTACAGCATTAGTCTCCAGGACACAAGGACAGAAATTTCAAGGTGAAGTGGGACCTTAGATATCAGCGATGTTTACACCGATAGGTTGTTCCTCCACCCCCACACCCTCACAATGGCTCTGAGTCTCCATTGGTTCATGAAATTTATTTCCTTCCCCATATATATTCTCCAGTAAAAACTCTGAGTGGAAGAATGCCTGTGTGCATCACAGGGCTTGAAGATTGGAGTATCAATTTTTTGGTTCCAGGAAACAACAGGCCATATTATAGGGAGTGGATGTTACAGGAAGGACAGCGATGTCCCATAGCAAGTTGGCTGCCTGGTGCCATACACTCCCCCTTCATCCGGGGAGGTGTTCAAGCAGGGACTGGGTAACGGAAACCAAGATCCGAAGAGGTGCTGTGACTTGCTATTAGTGGGCCTCTCAACTTTGAGGTCACGGTGGGGCAGAAGGAGAGATGAGGGAAACATGCAAATAGAAGTCAGCCGCTGTTCCCAGAGGGCATGAGGCAGAAAGGCATGGCCACACTCCCGCTGGCATTCCCTTAGCACTGCTCCACCCTCATGAGGACCTGCTCAAAATCAAGGCAGTGGTAAAGCACGGCTGCTGGTAGCATGCCACACCACTTGGAGAAAAATCGTTCAGAGCTTAGCTCAGGAAGAAAAGAGGCCCTGGAGGCTAAGGATATGGGGCAGGTTCCTGCTGGATGAAAGGCTCCTAAGGGAGAGGGGAGCAGGCAGCCAGGCTGAGAAGACAGCAGGCTGGGGCAGACAATCAGGAAAATCACATAAACTGAAAGGGAAGGGCTTTCAGAAGACACTGGGAAAGAATACTTGCTGGCAGCAGAGCTGGGCAGAATCTTCCCAGTGTTGGGGTGTTAGGCCTTGGGAACCTTTGGCCCAGATGCTTCCTTAAAGGAGCAAGGAGAGAGGGAGAGACTGGCAAGCCTCTCAGTGCTTAGAGCAGAAGCCTGGAATGTGCCCCTGAGGAGGGTGCACCAGAAGGTAAGTCCAGAATCCTGGGCTCCACTCGTCTGACAGAGTTTCTGTCTCTCTGGCCTCATCTCAGAGGGTGGATGCAGAGAACAGAGTTCAAGGTTGTGTGGGTGGTGCTGACCTGAGAGTATTCTTTCATCCCCAATCTTCCTTGTCTCTCAGGTATGTGGGAAAAAGAGGACCTGTCTTGAGCAGGAGCTCCCAGGAGACTGCCTGCTGTCCCAACTAGGGGTGTCATATGTCAGTGGGAGGTGGGTACGGGTCTTTTACCTGCTTCTTGCTACGGCCACACACACACCACCTGTAGGTTTTCCCCTCCACCAGCTCCACTTTGATGGGCGTTTTCAGGGCCACCACGGACTTGGCTGGGGCTCTGGGGAACCATTTGGCCTGTGGCAGGGAAGATGAGGTTTGGGGTCAGCTTAAGCCTTGAGAGCACTTTCCTGCCTATGGCCTTGTCCAGTTTCCCACTGGTTCTGGCTTGTGGCAGGCTTTCTCTGCAGGAGGCTGATCTGATGCCACCCAGCAAGGATATTTTCCCCAGGACACCATAAGGACCCTGAGCTCTAGATGGGGAAGGGATTTCAGACCATGCAGGCATTCGGGTTTTGGGCTCCAGCTGCCTTCTCTTCAACTCCTGGCTCTACTTGAGTGCTAGGGAGGGGAGGGCCAAGATCCTGCCAGCGGAAGCAGGCCAACTGCTCCGGGGCTTGGTTTATCATTCACAAGCTGGAGTCCTGGAAGCAAGGCTTACCCTTTCTGGTTACATTCCCTGGTCTCTACCTTTGGGGGTCTCTGGGCCTGGTGAACTTGGTCGGAGAGAAGGGAAACAGGGTACTCACCAGCCAAGAGGAGATGTCTCGCCTCCGGTGTAGCTTCTGCAAGGCACGCATGCAGTCACCACCAGACAGTGGTTGGAAAAAGAGAAAAAGTCAAAGAAAACCTGAGAACTTCCAGAGGGAAGTCATTTGGGAGGGAAGGGACGACGGCTTAGGGGCGTAGGATAAATAAGAGGTTAAGAAAATGGTATCACAGAGAGGAAGGAGAGCCTCTGGGTACGTTCTGACACGGAGGGAGGACTGCCAAGCACAAGGCGACGCGGGGACTTGGAGGGACGCTCGGCGGAGGGGCAGGTGGGGCGGGGCTTGAGAAGGGGCGTTGGGCACCGAGAGGAGGGCCTAGGCCGCGCCCAGGCGGAGGGTGCTCACCCAGGCCACTGGTCGCAGGAGCGCGCCCACGCTGTTCATGCTGGGCCCCGCCGTCACGCCGCGCCGGCTCCGCCCCGCGCCAGGGTCACCTTCCCGCTCCTCCCGCCTCCGGGCCGGCCCAGCCCCGCCTCGGCCCGGAAGACGCCGCTGGGTTCCGCGCGGGTGCGGTCCGGGGACCTGCGCGGTCCAGTCCAGTCCAGCCCCAGCCTCCGGAAGCCAAGCCGAGTGCCAACCCAGCAGCCTCCTCGGGCCCCTGCGGGGTATGGACGGGGCTCTCCCGGCGCCCCCCTTGGTACCGGCGTGTAGGCGGAATGACCCGCAAGAGCATCACCTCTCGTTTTCTTGCCAGCCCCTCCCAAGCCACGTACACCCTTCCACTCCCTCCAGGGCCGGGACCCTCCTAGGAGAGAGCCTTTTTCTCCCGCAGTCAAAGCCAGTGTTTCTGGAAGTGCAAGGCAGGTACATTTCATAACCTAGGGAGCTTGGTTTTTTTTGTTGTTGTTTTTAACAGATTCCTGCCTGCCTGGGCCTACATATCACATTCTTGTGGGTGGGGCACAGGTATCCAAGTGCTCAATATGCAGCCTGGGTACTTTGGTGACCTATTATTCTGAGTGCTTGAAGATATGTAATAGACTTTACCCCCATTCCCTCCCAACGCTCCCACAGTTGGCACTCCACCTCCCTTTCCCTTCAGTAAAGCCAGACAAAGCAGGGTCTCTTTGGATTTTTTTTTTGTAAAACTTTCTTTTATTAAAAGAACAAGTGCTGTATACGAACTGCCCTTCGTACAAATAACATCCGTTATACAAAGATACAAGATCCGGGTTATGCACAATTCCAGGCTTGGAGGTGGCAGCGGGGGGCATTGCCTTTTGGGCTGAGGATATAAAGGTTTTAGAAAGAATGAAAAAGGAGCCCTGGGTTTGCAAACTGTGGCTTCCCCTCCCTGCTCCCCTAGGAAGGTCTGCTACATTGAGACAGGCTGGGATGGAAAAGGGTGGGGGTAGGATTCAGGGTTTGGGTCTCCAGTCCTGCCACCTAAGTCCCAAGTTGGGCTAGAGGAAGCAAAGGAAAACGAAGGCACCCCACAGTCCCCAACTTTTCAGTAGATCAAGTCGAAGTGGTAGGGAGCTAGACACTTTTAATCTCATTGATGTGATCAGGGTCTTGGGCCCCACCTTCTTCCAGATTTCTAATTGAAGTGACTTTAATCCCTCCAGGCACCTCTTCCCAGGAAAATAAGTTGGGATAAAGGAGAATTGGAAACAAGCTGCCTACCCCTAACTCTAGCCCACCACACACCAAGGAAGATGCTGGAAGCTGGCACAGGGGAGCCTATGCTTTTAAAAGCTTGTCTGCATTTCCAGTTTGGGAAAGGGAAGTGTGGAGGTTACCCTTTCTCAGAGCTGGCCCCTGGCTCTGGCTCCCCTAACTTGTCCAGTACTTCCCTACAACTCAGTACAGGAATGGCAGAGGTACACTCATCAGCCTCAAGGTAAGGGTACATAGAGGCAGCAGTAGACCCTGGGGCCTGGGGAAAAACTCACACACAGGAAAAACTTAAAACAACAACAACAACAACAACAACAACAAAAACCTTTAAAGTGTCATTGTCAATAGAGAGGATCCATCAGCTCTGAGCTAAGACAGTCAGCGCTACATAGATATTCTCCCACTCTGGGCACAGCCCCGCACTTATACCACACGTCACACACAGTGACAAACAGAGAGCCACGTGAAGGCGGTGCAGTGGGGAGGGAGAGTGGAGGACCAGGAGGCCAGGGTCCTGAGGGCTGGTCCTGGCTCTGCCTGAGCCCCTGCCCCTCCTAGGGTTGGAGGTATCACCTGTGAAGTGAGGAGCTGGCTAAATGACCCCAAAGTCACGTTCGTTCAAGCTGTGACACTCATGCACCCATTGTGACCTCAAGGCCAGACAGTGGTTCTGCAAACACACCCCACTCATACCTCTGAGGGTGATGACGTAGAAGCTCCACTCTCATGCATTTTCAAACTCTACTTCCACCCTGCAAACCACATCCTTTCCCTCCCCTAGACAGAGACCTACAAATCTGCATCCCTTCCCACTCCCCATCCAAATTTGTCCTGGAAAAAGAGACTGAGGCTGGAGAGGAGGGTGGGGTCGGTACAGCCATCCCTCCACAGTGGGACCCCGCTCCTTCTTGAAGATCTCCAGACCTTTCCTATTATAAAGCTCCCTAAAAGATAGAACTGTACTACCTCTCTCGGCCCCTACCTCCACCCCAAATCGAAGGATACCACCAATCCATACCCAGCCTAGGTCTCATCTTCAAATTTAACCTGGCTACCTGCTGCTGCACCCCAGCCCGGGGAAAGTTGGAAAACACAGACTCTTGGAGATGAGAACCCCAGATTCTCGGGTGCTAGGAGCGGGGAGGTCTTGGTTCCAGTGCACTAAATCATTTGGACCTCTCACTCTCCACCACAGCAGGCTTGGGCTGAGTGGATTTGCTTCACATGCCATCCAGAACAGAAGCTGACTTTAGCTCTAAGTGGGTGGGCCTTGGGCAAGGGTGTGGGTGTGAATGCACAACTCTTCTAAGAATCTCTGAAGGTTATTTTTCTTTTCAGTGGTTTGGGGGCAGGGAGTTAGAGAGCTTAATAGATGAAGATGAATAAAATGCTGAATTCTATAATTTCTAACTGATATTTAGCATTAATAAAAAGTGAGTATTTCTGAGGTCATCACAACTGCCTCCCCCCTCCCCCCAAGCCCTTGCAAGTGCCTAAGAAATTGCCTCTGAAGGATTCCCACCCACCCCCCTCCATCATTAGCTCCCTAACATCTTACAAAGTCTTAACAGGAATATTAATATTATTTTCAGTATCAGAAAAAAACCAGTTGAGCAGCACAGGCAAAAATATATCTGCACTACGTTTCTGTCATTGCCAAAAATATACACATCTTCTTTTCTTTATTAAAAAAAAAAACAACAACAACAAAAACCCAAACAGAAACACACACACAAAAAATCCACACATGCAAAGAGACTGACATGACATGAGCATCAGGGAAAGCTGGATATGCCTTCTCCTGGCTCCAACCCCAGTGCAACTGAAACACAGACACAGGCTTCAACCTTGCCCCTCTCCTGGCTGTCCCACCCGGCCTCTCTGCCTTTGCCACCAAAGGCTCTGGGCAGGTGAGGACTCTTTAAGGTGAGAATTTAAGTACTGCCCACTACAACCCGGGGGAAATAGCTGGTAGGCAAAAGGACAGTTGTTAGGTCAGCTTAAGCTTAAGTCTCCCCTGGTTGGTGGGGGTGGGGGGTAGGGTTCTGCAGCGGGCGAGCTAATTCTGGGAGGGGGGAGGTCTTCAATAAAGAAAGTGGCACTTTACCCGCCCCCATGCCTTGTCCCCCAATCCCTGGGGCTCCCCTTGTGCCAGGGAAGCAGGATCGACTATCAGTGGGGGAAGGGGAGCTGTGAGGGGTCACTGAGACCATGTAGGGTCTGGGGGAAGGAAGGCAGGATATTACCCTGATTCAAAGCCCTCAGCCCCCAGTTACTCTCCAATATTGGAGTACCGTTCTGGTTTTTGTTAACCATTCATGCCCCAGAAAGGGACCAAAGTTGGTGAGGTGGGGAGGGTGCAAACAAGAGCTGGGAGCTCCCCGCGCCCCCCATGAGCGCTACTCTTATCCCTGCCCTCAGCTGCCCCAGGTCCAGGGAGAGACAGGTAGACAGACACACACGCGCACACATGCACACATGCTCTCTGAGTCAGGCCGCTCCATCTCCCCACCCTCGGCACTCCTAAATCCAATAGTGCAAACAAGGGACAGGGGACCCAGGGAGCTGGGCCTCCTCCCCCTGGCCTCCCCCAACCCATCATTGCTCTGCCCCCCAGAGGCGGGGAGGCTTGGGCCAAGTTTGAGGCCATCGTGCCCCTTCCTCAGCCCCCTTGTCTGTGGGCTTTTACAAGCTCAGCTTGTGACCCTTTTTGGGGGGCAGGGGAAGCGGACTGCTAGAAATAATCCAAGGGATCCCTCCTGCCACCTGCTCAGGCTGGGAAGAAACTGCAGGTACAGTAGGGCCACCTCTTCTTCCATAACAGATTTCTGCAAAGGGGCAGGCCCAGGGCCTATCCCCCCCTTCTTCCCACTCAAGTGCTGATCCATTTTATGTGGCGGGTACAACCAACCCCCCCACTTATGCCATGGCCCACTTTACTCTCTGGGAGACCTCAAAACATTTGCTGAGAATAGGGGCTTCTAGGCGGATTTAGAGCCTGTCTTCCCTCTGAGCCCCTCACAAAGGATTAGTGCAGAGGGGGAAGAGGGCCAGATGGAAGGAGCTCCCTTCTCTGTCTCAGTCCTCAGCACCAGATGCGCTCCACACTCCCCAGGTCTCAGCATGTGCTCTGGGCTGGGGCTCTCCAGTGTCTGGGTGCAGATGCCTGCTCCAGGCTAGGACCCTTCAGGCCAGGACTGCCCCCTCCACTTACGGCGGGCGGGGGCGGGGGTCAGGAGGGCTGTGGGTAGATTTAGCCTTTTTCCTGGTTGGCTGAGGCTCCTTTGTCAGCAGTCTGGAAAGAAAGAAGGGAAGCTGGGGGTTTGGAAGGTGACTGGTTCCAACACCTAGTTGAGAACATCTAAGTCAAGAAAGCTATTGTAGGGTACAGCAAGGGAGCCCAGCTGAAGCTCCTGGCCTTGCCTCTAGTGGGTGTACACCAGGGTCAACCTGTTGAGCGGGGAGTTGCCCTGCGCCAGAGTACCTGGCTAAGTAGGCATGTGCCAGCCAAGGTCATCATCCTGGGCTCGGGATGTATGTCCTTGGAGGGAGGTGGGAGGGACTTTTTGGAAATGGCCCACCCAGAGCATTATCCTTTTCTAATTGGTCCACTCAGAGAATAAATAGCCTTTTCTAACTGTTTTTCTTACTATTAGTCCATGCTCAGAGTGTATTCTTGGATCTGCAGGAGGGTACCTATGTGCCAGCAGAGGCCCTGGAAACTGAAGCAGGGTGCTTTGCTGACCTACGGGTCATCTTCTTTCTCCTAATGATGATGCATCTAATGATGTACCTTCTGATGCTGCACCTCTGCCCATCCCAGAGAAGGAAGACAGGACAGCGCTGGACACCTTACTTACCGCTCCTTTGGGGCCACTGCCACTGCCGTCCGCCCCTGACAGGCTGAGGAAGGGGTTGGTCTGGGCAGTCAGGACTGGAGGGCCTCCTGCTGCTGCTACTGCTGCAGCCGCAGCTGCTGCGGCCATGAGACTTGTGTTGTTGCTGAGAGAGGGAGCCACCAGGGCTCCGGTGGGCAGCAGGGGTGGGGCAGATGCTGTGGGCAGCAGGCCAGGAGTGCCCGCGGACAGCAGTGGGGTGGAGCTTCCTGCCAGCAGGCTGGCCATGGGCAGCTGGGAGCCCCCAGCCATCTGTAGCCGCTGCAGCTCCCGCTTCTGCTGGATCTGCTGGATCATCTGGTAGACAACGGTCTGGTGTTCCTGCAAGTAGGCCAGTCTGTTCATCAGCCAGTGGTCCCCGAGACCAGCTTGCCCTGCTTGGCCTGGACTCCGTCCCATCACAGTGGACCCATGAGGCAAGAGACCTGGGATATAGTCAAGGTTCTCTTGTCTCTAAGTCCCCATTCTGGGTCTCAGTCTCCCCTCTGGACAACAAAGTGATTACATACCATCAGCGTTTGTCAGCTGGGGCACTACTGGCCAAGTACAGGGTGTTTAACACCCCTGGCCCCACCCCCCTCACTAAATCAGTTCCTCAGTCTCTATGACAACCACAAATGCCTCAAGGGGTGGTATGACCCCAAGCTGAGAGATACTAATCTAGGTCAATAGTTTTCCACTCCCTCTCTTGGTTTTTTTTTTTCCCCCTTTAAGATTAATTTATTTTTGCTTTGAGTAGGCAAAGCATTTTCAGTGTTCCAAAAACCAAAACAGAGTATCAAGTTTACCTTAGGAAATCTTACTCCAACCCCTGTTCCTATCTGGCCCTGATAGATAACCAGTTGAACTGGTTTCTTGTATCTCTTTCTGATGCTTCTTTATATGAAAATAATTTTGTTTTTTTCTATTTTTCCAACTCCCTCCTTTTCGAAGGGCACACAGATCCTTTTCTCCAAAGGAAATGTTAGCCAACCCAACATACAAGACAGACCAAAAAGGTTGAGGGGGTGTCACCTGCTCAGCCACCTCTCCACACAGACCCTGAAGATCCTTGAGGCTGGGATTGGAAATGCTCAGAAACTGAGGACTGAGGACTCACCACCCTCTAGACTTGCTTTCAGGATGTGGTGGGGCCACTACAGCATCCTTTCCTCAATGCCTAGGGGGCCCTGAGAGCAACCCTTTTCCCTTTGTCCCATAGGGGATGCTCTATAAGAGCCCAACCCCACTATCGCAGGTGTAACCTCAGCCCAGCCTGGGGCAGCCCTCCCTCCCCAGGCTGGCCCAGACCCCCTGAGATGTGCCCTCCTAGCAGAACTAGGGATGGGAGGTGGCCTAGGAAGGGAGGGCATTACCGGGGTCAGTTGTGGGGAGGCAAGAAGCTGCTGGAGCTGGTGGAGCTGCTGCTCTTGCTGCTGCAGGAGGTGTCTCTGCTGCTCCGTTAGGCTGAGGCAGGGGTACAAAACACAGACCATGGGAAGAGACAGGGAAACAATCCTCCCCAGCCTCCCACAAGTTCCCAGACTCCCTCAGACCCAGGTGGAGAGAGGCAAGGATGTGCGATTTGAGAGAACTAAAGAGAAACAGACTGAGTTCAGAGAGTATAATGGGAGGGAGACAAGTTAGATGGAAGAACTTTCCCAGAAGGAAAACCTAGATTGGGGTACAAGAAATAAAAAGACAATTTGTCCCTGGAAAGTTGCCATCCAGAGGGCACTTACATCTAGGGAGTACCTGGGGCCAAGAGGTGACTAGATTCTATACCCTGTAAGACCGGAGGATGTTTTTCCTTTTGGGGTCTGTGGGTGTTTGGGGGGAGTCCCTCCCAGAGCCGGCCTCCCCATTCCCTTCCCCAGGCTGAGCTCTCCCTCACCTGTTTAGACAACCTGGCAGCTGCAGCGTGGGGGCCCCGCCAGCCTGGCTCAAGCCCGCAGGGTTGGGGGCAGCAGCCCCATTCAACCCCCCCAGGAGCCCATTGAGGGGCAGGGCCCCGCTGCCCGCCAGTCCCCCCAACAGCCCCTCAGCCATGGGCATAGCTCCCAGCCCCGCTGCCCCGGGTGCCCGGCCCAGCCCGTTCTGTGGCTGAGGCGGGAGTGGGGCAGGGGCCCCAGGCAGGGACAGGGGCAGAGTAGCAGGGCTCTGCTGGAGCAGGGGCAGCGGTGGGGGCGTGCTGTGGAAGGACAGCGACGAGCTGCTGCGGCTGGGGCAGCCTGAGTGTGGGTCCTGGGGAGGGAGGGGGAAGGGAGGGGTCAGAAGGGCAGGGGGCCAGCATGACCTTTCTGGCCCCCAGCCCAATACCCATCAGCATTCTTACAGAACACAGCCACCCCCAACTTACCCCCAGGCAGAGCCGCCCAGGAGGAAGAAGGAAGGCTTAGGGATTAAGGCTAAGAATCCAAATCATCTTCACAAATCATGTTTATAGACCACTTCCTGGGAGCCCAGCACTCCTTACATCCTTGCTTAATACTGAACATCAATGATAGTAGTGAGCACCTAGTAAACCAGACTCCAGGGGTCAATGCTTGACCTGCATTATCTCCTTATTCTCACTTTATAGATGAAGTCATTGATCCTTAGACAGGTTAAGTAACTCTGCAGACAGCCAGAGTGAAAGGTTCAGGTTCAAATCCTATGTCTACAATTCAATGGCTTGAGTGGTTTTCTGCCTTAGTTAAATTACTCAACATGGAAGTAACAGTAGTACCTATTTCATAAGTATCTATTCCATAGTGAAGACTAAACAAACCAATGCTTTAAAAATCTTAGCACAGAACATGACGAAGGGCAAGTGTGCAATTAATGTTAGTTATGGCAGACAGTTAGTAAATGGCAGAGAGAATAAGAAACTAGTTTGTTTGATTTCAGTAATAACCACAACATAACAATAGCAACTGCTACCCCAACCACCACCAATTATACAGGAATTCTTTTGTATGAGGCACTGTAATAAACCCTTCACAAATACTTCCCTAACCGTCTTATATCTACAAGAGAATCTCACCCCCATTCTTCCTCACAGCCTCAAATTATTTCAATCTTAGCACTTTTTCTGGTTTGTAATTATTGTTTCCTTGGAGCCTATCTTCAAGAGGACTGTGTCCATTTTGCTCACTGATTACTTAGCCAGTGCCTGGCACTAAGTAGACAACTTATAATTACTTATCTAATGAAGAAATGAATGGATCAGTCAACCTATTGCTCAATCACTTCATTGTCCAGCCGCCAAGAGCTGCAGGGTGGAGGTGGGACCAGGAGAACCTTGCCGCCTCCCATCTCCTGCTCATCCCCAGTGCCCCTCCCCGTGGTGCCCACCTCGGAAGACGTGGATAACGAGTTGTCCAGGCCAAGACTATTCTTCCCCGGGGGGCTCTTGCTGGTGCTCAAGGAATCGCTGCTGCCGGCTGAGGGAGGAGGATCAGAGGAGGAGGAGGATCAGAGAAGATCAGGCGCTGAGGTCGAGGCTAGTTCCTACCTCTAGTTCTGCAGCGGCCTCCACTCCTGGGCTGGGTGGGATCCCCTTACCTTGGGGAGGCAGGCCATAAGGCCCAGCGACAGGGCCATTGGCGGCAGGCAAGACAGCAGGCAAGGCGGGGAAGGGTACAGAGAGCTGCACGTTGAGAATCTGCAACCGCTCCTTCTTGGCCGTCAGGCTCAGGATTTGCTCCTGAAGCCGCTGGTTTTCCTTCTGCAACGCGTGCAGCGCCTTCAGCATCTCCACGACTGCAGAGAAAGGGGAGAGAGCGCCGGAGCACTAAGGGCTGAGGGCGGGGCCAGAGGACCGGAGGCGGGGCTTGGAGGGGCGGGGCATGGCGGAGGACACCAAATGAGACCTAGAAGGCTCCGGCTTGAGGAGGATTCAGGTGAGTTGGGGGAGGCAGGACCCGGGAAGCCTGAGGTGTGAGGACCAGGGGCGGGGCCTGAGGCTCGGTTCGAGGCCTTGTGATTGCGAGGGAAGGGGCAGTTAGAAGTTTGGGCTTAGTAAGGTATGAGACAGGAGGCTGTGAGGGCCAAAGCGGGGTACAGAGGGGGAGGGGCCAGAAGCAGGGCCTTATCAAGGGTTAAAGGTGAGGCTGAGGTTGGCAAGAGTTAAGGCTGGGGCTGGGCCGAGAAGCAGAACCTTAAAGACTTTTGGGGATCTCGGGGAGAAGGGTGATTGAGTCTGGGGGTCCTAGGGCACATCTTCCAGCCCTGCACCACCCCGCCTCACTGTTGACGCCGGCCTCGCCGTCGCCCTGCTTCTCTAGCAGCTGCTCCATGTTAGTCGTTCCTGGGGCCGCTGGGTCTAACTGGCTGCCCCCGCAGGGTGCGGGCGTTGTTTGGTCGAAGAGTGCGGGGAGGCTACTGATGGGGGACCTGGGGTCAGAAGGGAACACAGGGCTCAGGCTTATTTCATACCCCAACTAGAGTCTCTCCTTCTTCCTCCTCCCCCCTCAGGGACTCCAGTCATCCCTTTTTGGACCCCACCCTCTCCCAGGGGCTCCCGATTCTCCATCCTTCCTCCCCCAGTGTCCCTCCAGCCCCGCTCCCAGCTCCTCCCCCAAGTGGCTGCCCCCTCCCTCACATGGAAGACAGACTCTCCTGGGGGGAGGTCCCCCGACACCGGAAGCTGCAGTCCTCCAGGTCTGGCTCTTGGAAGGAGAAGGAGGGCAGGGGTCAGCGGGGGAGGGGTGCGGTCGGCCTCACGGTGCCCGCCTGGGAAGTGGGTGCGGGATCTGGGACCTTACCATAGACCCCTTAGCCCCAGGATCTCCCAACCCCAGTCTGGCAATTATAGCTCCTAAGGCGCTAGGAGCCCTGGCTGGGAAACCCGCCCCGCCCCGCCCCCGGGAGGTAAAGCCATGTTTATTTAGCCACCCATATTGGATATATACAGATATAATTTCTCTGTGTCCCAAATATAGAAAACCAGTCAGTGTATCTCCTGAAAGAAAGGTGCACATTGTCAGACTGTGTCCCAAATGCTGCAAGCTTATGAAAATTTGCTCATAGACTGTTGATTTGGCAACACTTGTCATTATTATTACTCTGTGTGTGTGGTTTTTTTTTCTCTAGGCAGAAAGCCTCTGGCTGCCTGGCTACTTTCAGATGCACCTCCCAATTTCTTTCCAGGAAGCTTCAGTTACAGAAATTTGGGATCTATACAGTACTTGGTTGAATTTGGACCTGATACTTGCTCTGTGAACTTGGGCTTGAAACTAACCTCTGAAGTGATTGTTACAAGAATTAAAATAAACTAATAATGAAGTGTTAAGCTGCATGCAGCAATCCCTCAATAATTGTAGCTATTATAATATTTTGTATGACTTTTTATAAACTCACAGGTTAGCTGGCCAAACCTTTGGTTGGGCCACAGAACTCCGATCTGGGTTTGAGGGGGAAAAAAAGTTACTCTACTCTTTAACTCTGGAATCAAATTCGGCCCCTTTAAGGCCTACTAAAACAAGCGGCCAGGAGGTAGGCCACGCCCCCTAGCCGGCCAGGTGGTGTCTCTGCACCAATCAGCTCTCTGGGACTGGGCTGACTCTCCAGGGAGAGGGTGGAGTGCTTGTGACCCGCCCCTTTAACATTCAAATACCCGGAGAGCTGGTGGCCCAGCAGGTGGGATCTCTCTGCTGATCCCAAGGGCTCTAACAGGCCAGCGGGGAGCTATGCTGCGGGTGGTTAAGAGAATTGGGCTTGAAGTCAGAGGACCAGAATTTGAGCTCTGGCTCTGCCTTTCCCTATTTTAACTGCTTTGAACATTAATCTCTGCTTTTCTTCTGTGAAATGGAGCAGTAGCAATTCTTTCCTGTCCTGCCCCAACAGCTCACTAGGTTTTAATGTGAAAGTGTACCCTGGTTTGTTGTATATGGATTTTTTTTTTTGCAGGGTGGCCAATGACCAGAGGGAGGGGGCAGCCAGAAAGCCTTCCCATCCATTTTGGGGTGACATGCAAGTGATGGGTGCCCCTTAGGCCTTTGGGAAGAAAGGGGAATGGGTTCAGAGACTCACATACCTGTGTGGCTGCTCTCAGCTTGGGTGAGGAGGGGGTTAACGACACCCATGGGGGTTCCAAAGATGTGGGTAGAAGGGAGGCTAAAGGTGGAGCCAGCCAGAGAAAACACCTGAGGGAAAGTAGGTAGAGTCTAGCCTGGTGGTTATTCTTGGATCTAGGGCACAACTGTGTGTACCAGGTGGAGGGGACCAGGTGTGCTTGGGAGGAGAAAGGACCAGAGAGAGGGAGAAGTTCTGGTGGTGATCAAGCCCAATCTCTCAAGTTCTCATGGAGGGTTGGGGTCCTTGGCAGCCTGTCCCCCACCTGCCCAGGGATGGAGGAGCCCAGGAGTAAGGCCTCACCTGAGTGGTGGAGATAGAAGCAGAGGAGGAGGGGAGGGTGCTGGTGAATGGGGAGCGGCTGAGGCGGGGCAAGGCAGAGGTCCCCGGGGGCCCCAGCAGGCTGGAGGAGAGGGGTGTGCTGCAAACAGCCCGCAGCATTCCGCCACCATGGGAGATGGGGTCCTTATTACTGGTATAGATGCCTATAGGCACAAGAAGGACACAGAGGGAAGCATATAGTCACCAGTCCCCCAAGTCCCTCCTCTGTCAGGTGGCTGGGGCAGCCCCTCCCCAAGGAGAATGCTCACCCTGGATGTGGCCACACACACCAGTCTAACCTTCTTGCACAGATGTCCCTTCTTGCCTGGGTGACATCTGCTTGACATGACTGCTTATAAGACTGCCCTGCCAGGCCTGGGGAATTCCAGTCTTTTCCAATATCCCAACCAAACTTTTCTAAGTCAAACCAACAATCTAACGCAATATCTCTCACTACAACTATGCAGAAGACAGGTAGCAGAGGAGGTGTCTTGAAGGTGACTGTCACCTCCATTCTTTGTCCTTAGGAGCAGTTTCTATCACATTTCCTTTTAAATGCATGTTTATGCCTCTGTCCCATCACTAAGCTGGCAGGACCCTGAGTTGCCCTCCATCCCCAAGGGTCACTAACCTGCCCCTAGCAGGGGGGACTCCAAGCTCAGGCTGGGCAGGCTCCCAGAAGGCCCAAAGGCGCGAGAGGCCAGACCACCCAGGCCGGAGCTGACCAGGGAACCTCCGGAGAAGGGTGAGGCAGCAGTGGCGGTAAAGCCAGCCAGCTGGGCACCAGGCAGGGAGGAAACAGCTGGGCCCCCAGTGCCCTCTTTGTTCCGGCTGCCCTTGGGACGGCCTGGCCCGTGTCGGCTCTTCTTGCTGGCTTTGTGCTTCTTCTCCTTCAGGCCTGTCTCAGAGGTCTCCTCGGCAGGCGCAGAGGCAGCGCTCAGTGTGGGCATCCGCTTGTGGGTGCCTGCTGAGGCTCCAGACCCCGAGACGTGGGGAGACTTATAGTCCCCAGGGGATGGGGCCCGGGCCCGTCCAGAGCTGGAGGTGGTGGTGGAAAAGCGCATGATGGGCCCAAAGCCAGAGAAGACCACCTTCTGCTCAAAGAGGTCAGCTTTGGGGGGCTCAGGGGCTGAGGGAGAGGGGGGTGCTGAAGGAGTGGGGGCTGTGGGCTTGGAGTACTTGTCCTCCTCTGGCTGCTCCAGCTTGGGGAAGGCAGAGAAGTCAGGGGAGCTCTGCAGGGATGAAACTGCACAGAGGGAAAACAGAATTACACCTGGACCCCAGATCCCTCACTCCCTCCCACTCCCAACATGCACTAGTGGGAGAGCTCTGGTCAGGGGATAGGGATGCTTGGTTTCCTGTCTTAGCTCTGTCACCGTCTCTGTGTCCTGGGATGAGTGACTCCCCACCCTCCCAAGCTTTCTTGCCTATGATAAAGTAGGAGGAGAGGAAAGTTCCATCTCAAGAGGGAAAGGTTGAGGGGAGGGTTTGGAGAGCAGTAACTTGGTGGTGATCTCTCATATTTAACCCGAATCAATTTAGGAAGCAAATGAGATGCAAATTAATATGCAAAGGCCCTTGCTAGAAAAGCTCAGGGACAAAGGCTGTCCCACTCCCAGCCTCTTCCAGGAGGCTCACCTGCCCACACTCACCTGCAGGCTGGAAGGGCCCCCCAGAGGAGGAGGAAGAGGAGGAGGAAGAAGAGGAGGCGGAGGTGAAACTGTTCACACCTTTCCCACTGCTCAGCTTCTTCCCCTTGTGACTCAGGCTATGGCTGGAAGACTTTTTCCCCTTCGAGTCCCTGCTGCTCTCAGAGGTCTCCTGAGTGCTGGCCTCATGGTGGGAGGTGGAGGAAGCCGAGGAGGAGACCTGAGGAGGGAGGGAAGAGAGAGGAAGGTTGAAGCCAGCAGCCTGGGTTTGGGCTCACCCCATCTTGGAAGTCCTGGGAGCACACGGAACCTGGGGCTCTACAGGGAGAGTTCAGAATTAGCTTCAGGAAGGACTTCTGGGCAAGGAGATGGTGGGGTGGGTAGCTGTGGAACTCCTGGGTATGAGGAAAGGGGAGCGCTCTGAACCTAAGAAGCTGTCCATCCTTCACCTCAGGCAGGGGAGAGATGAAAATGTCCTAGAGTCTGTACTGATGTACTCATCTGTTCATACTTTCATTTAAGAAATACTTAGAGGGGGCTCTCTAGTCATCCCCACTCCCTCCCTGCTCACCCCGAGCTGTAGCCACTTGGCTGACACCCATTCCCTGGCTACTCTGTGCCCTTCCTAGATGACGTGAGCTTGCTTCCTTGAAAACTTCTCATAAACTTCTTCAAAATCCAGCTTGGAAGTCCCCTCTTTCATGAAGTCACCCTAAGACACCAAGAGTGGAACAAGTCACTCTGTACTCTTATTTCCAGGGCATCATGAACCCGAATCAGCCAAGTCAACAGTTGCCACACTACTGAAATATACTATCCCCATGTCTGAGGGCGGCAGGGTGGGGGTTGGAGGAGCATGGGCTCTGGGGTTGGGCAGGTTGGGCCATGAGCCTGGCAGGCTCTGCCATTTACTGCTGTGTTATAGTGCATGGTCTCTCAACCTTGCTGAGCTTCAGTGTCCTCACAGGGCTAATTATGCCCATTTGGAGAGTTACAAGGAGCAAAATGTCAGATACATAGTGTGTGGTCAATAATGATGATGATTCTGATGGCTGTGACTGCTATTAATATACTGCAGAACCAATGTCTGTGGTGGTTAGGAGTATAAGCCTTCAAGCCAGACTGCCTGGGTGCAAACCTTCACTCTAGCACTTACCAGCTGTACGCTTTTGGGCAAATAATCTCTCTGCCTCAGTTTCTTCATTTATTAAATAATGTTAATGAAACACCTACTTCACTGGACTATTTTGAGGATTAAATGAACTAATCCCTATGCACCACTTCTATCCTCCTGTTCAAGAAGAGAGCCTGGCATGTGGTGAGTCAGGGCTTCTTATCACTGCCAGGGATGGCGCTTTTTCTTCTGGTGGAAACTAGGTATTTAGTAAACATTTGCTAAACCAACAAATGCCAGAGGGAGGGTGGATGGGGGAATGAGAGCCACCACGCACTGCCCTCCCTGGGCAGAGCCCTTGTCCCTCTTCCTCTTTGTTCTTTTAAACAGCTGGAGTTCTGAAGGGAGCCAGATGTGGTTCTAAGAGCAAGGGAGGAGAGAGGCTAGGGGGAGGGGTAGCTGAAATGCTGGGGTGGGTAGAGGGGGAAGGGCAGAATGTTCTAAAATGTCCAAGGGGACACCCAGTCACTGGGAGAACTCCCAGACCTCTGGCCCTCTTTCCACCTGTCTGCAGGCCCCAGAAAAAGGTCAGAGGACAGAGATGACTAGCTTTTCCAGGTGAGTCCTGGAAAGCAGGGCGGGGAAAGGATTACTGTAACAGTTGCCACAGCAACATCACCCTGGAAACCTGATACCTGAGCCTCCTGTTAAGATGCCCAGAGCTCTGCCAACCTTCTGAGGCACTGGAGGTGAATGGGGCAATAATGGCAACAGGAGGAAGCAGTTTCTCCAGGCCCTTGTTCTTCCCTGGGAAGGGCTGGATGGAAGGAGAGGCAGAGAGGGCTGCTCTGGCTTGGATTAGTGACTCCCTGGCCTTGGCAGGGCATGCCAGTTGCTCATCCATATGTTGTCAATTTCTGGAGACAAGCCTGACAGACACATCATGCCCCTACTGGGAAGGTGGGATGAGTCGGGGGTTCAGGGTGTTGTCAGGAGCCTACCCACCATGCTACCATGGGCTACACTTTCAGCCCCAACAACCTGCATGGACTAGGATTTTGGTTAAGCAACAGGCTCTGGTGTCTTTCTGATGCAGGGGAGGGGTGAGAAGGAAGGGTCTTCTCTACCTCTCTGGGAATGGGCCCCAGAAGCTTGGAGAACCAGCCTGAGTACTGTACCCGCAGACAAGAGCTCAGTGCTGAGGCCCTATGTCTGGATAGAGGCAGATGTGAACATTTGGGAGCCAGCAGGCAGGGCGGTACCCTACCCCATCCCTGCCCTCCTGGTTGGTCAGTGATTGGTGGGCCTGAGGAGCACAGGCCCTCCTAGGCTAGAAGAGAGGAGCAGAGGAGGCTGAAGTGGGGAGCAGAGGCATATTAACCCTGAAGCTGAGGGGGTACCCAGGTCCCTGGCTCACCCTGACCCCTCACACCTTGCCTTCCTCCCGCTGCTGGGTGTAGGTGGGCAGCAGTACCTTGTCAGCAGTGGGGACCATGGGTGGGGTAAGGATGCTGGGGGGTGACTCAGGCCGCTTCTTGTGCTTCTGTTTAAGGCGTTCCTTGTCCTTTCGACTCTGGGGAAGAAAAAGTGACCAGATATTGGTGTTGGGGGGTATTTGGGGTAAAGGTAAACATGACATGTTCACATGAGGAGAGGACCCCTCTCAGAGATAGACTTTGTGGCCATCATCTCCACTAAGGAGGGACTGGGGGACTTTGGCTGGATAGGAGTGGGTCAGGCAGGTTCCTCTGAGAGCCAACAGCCCCTCCCCCTCATCCTCCCTGCCTGCTAAAAATAGCCTGTCCCATTATCACACCAATGACACAGAGCACCACACACGTGAGTATGCACCTGCAAGGGTGTCCACCCGGGACACAGAGCTGTGCAGAGGGACGGGAGCCAGGCACACTGTGACATGTAGCATGAAGGGATGCAGGCATGTACACTTATGAATTGGGCTGACATAAGGCTAGACTGTGGAGATGTGTGCAAACATGCAGGGCCATGTGTTGGGGGCTTTGAGGACACTGTCTTTTCATGGGGAGGACACTGGAGGAACCAAAGTAACACAAAGAGCCCCAGGGAAGTCAGGCCCTCACCTCACTCTCTCTGACCCTCACATATTACTTCCTCAGCTCCCTCCCAGCCCTCAGTGGCCTATGAGAAAAGAAGGGGGCACACCCCAAGACCTCGGGTACACCTTGTGGTGGCTTCTTGAAAGAGGTGTGTGTGGGGCGGTGTGGGCAGGACAGCAGGAGGGAGAAGATTTTTACCTTCTTCTGGCCCCTCTCATGGTGGGAAGGGTGCTTCTCCTGTTGGGTGGATGGCGAGGCTGACCGACTTCTCCGGCCAGTGATGAAGCCACTGCCACCTCCCCCTGTGCCGCTGCCTCCTCCTCCTCCTGCTCCTCCACCTCCCCCACTGGTGTGCCGAGAAGTCTTCTGGGAAAGAGAATTGAGAAGAACTGCCTGCCAAACTCTCCTCTCATTAGCTTAGGGAAAGGTTCCTGAAGGTCAAGTGATCCTGGGGGCCTGCCCTGCCTGTCACTAAGAGGACATTGAGTCTTTAACAATGCTCTGGGTAGTCCCCAGAGCTTCCTTAGCTGGCCTGTCCACTGCACAGATTTGACAACTGAGGCCCAGAAGATCCAGGGGTGTTTCGGTTGCAGCAAGGCATGCTGGAGGTAGGTCCTTACTCTCCACCCACCTCTTTCCATGGTGCTCTCTTGGCCCATTTTAGGCAGCCTGAGCCATGGCTCACCTCTGCCTCCTTCCCTAAGGTAGAGAACGTGTGGAGGACCCTTGTGGGAGCCCCTGCTCCCCTGTACTCCACACCCCATCCTCCCCTCCAGACACTTTGCTCCAGCCATCAGCCCTTCTCCCTTGTTTCTGGCCAAAAGGACCTGCTACCCTTAAGAAGGAGGAAGTAAACATCCACAACAAAAACCCAAATGACCCATGTGCTCTTGAGCTGCCTCTCCGCCCAGCCAGGATCTGCTCCCTCCTTCTCTTTACTGCTAATGGACTCCCCACTGCCCGGTCTGATGGCTTCGCCTGTCCCAGACTTGCAGCTGCTCCCTCTAAGGTCACCCACTACCTTCCAATTGCCAGACCCAAGGACTAATTTCAGATCTTGTGTGACCCAATCGCCCCCTAGCAGTGGGCACCATTCCTATCCTGCTGACTCTCTCCTTCATGGTTCCCTTCACACCGTGGCCCACCTTACCCTGGTGGGTACCTGGGGATTCTAGCCCCAGCCTTATACACCTGGGGCCGGTACTACCGCCCTGCCTGTGGGGTCGGGAGGAGAGGTCTGACAGCCACCAGACCTAAACAATCCCACTTGGCACCTCCTATAAACCAAACCAAGTTCCCTACCTTGTCCTAAGTCATCATCCAATCCTGAAACCAAGGTGACCATATGATTTATGATCCAAACCAGGACACAGTTGAAAGTGAAAGGGGATAACTATTAATAATTACACCAGGCACAAACTGGGACTGTCTGGGGTAGAGCAGGACAGAAGCCTGCTGCACCCCTGTTCACAGCACCCCAAGGTGCTCAAGCCCCATCCACTCAGCATCGGGACCCTGCATCCTATATGCCACCCTCAATCCCTCCCTCTCAGCCACCCGCACACATGGGCAAGTCTATCTAGAAATGGCTCTAGAGTTCAGCTTCATCCCTCCGTCCCCCCCTTCTCGCAGCTGTCTACCAGCCACCAGCCTCAGCTCTTTGGATCCAGCTTCACAGCGCCTGCCCGAGTAATCTTCCTAAAAAACAAATCTGATCATGTTACCCTCCCACTTACAAGCAGCCTTACGAGCCTTTGGCACTGGAGTGAGGTCCAAGCTAAGTTCCCAGTCAGGCCACAGCCTACCTCTCCAGGATACCCCACAGCTTCTGGAACATGCAGCTCTTTCCACTAACATGACAATATCCTTCTCAATCCTCTCCTTGGTCCCTGAAGCCTGGACAGAAGCGAGCCCAATTCTAGCCCAGTTTGAGCTTTTCTGCCTCATCTCCTGTCTTGTCCCCACCAAGCACCCTGTTCTCTGCTTGCAAAATTCTCTTCCTCCTCTCAGGACTTGGCCCATGCCAGTACCTCTGCCTGAGATTCCTTTCTTTCTGTCTTTGCTTGGCAGGCTCCTGAGGAGCTTTCAAATCAGATTGTGTTTTGAATCCTATATATTCTGTGAGATAAGTTATATAACCTCGGTGGGCCTTACTATATTTATCTGTATGATGAAAAAATACAGTACACCTAGTTCTTAGGGTTCTTGGGAAGATCGCACAAAATAACAAAGGTAAAGGGCTTAGTACAGAGGGGGCACGGTCGTCCATGCTCCACACATGTTGGCTCTTCTTGTTACTCCTTCCATCAGCTTCTATGCTACCTTTCTTAAAGCCTCTCAGACTCTGACAGACAAGGTCTGAGCTCTGCTTTCTTGAGATGGACTGCTTGGTTCAGTTCTGATTCACATTTCTCAGGCTGTACTTCAATTTATTCTTCATCCAGTGAAGAGCTACTCAATGGCAGAGCCTGGGTTCCTTCCATCTCTGTCCTCTCAGCACCAGGCACCAGCCTGGCCCAGAGCCCATGCCCTCTAAGCCATGGCTGACTGACCTACTCATGCCCTAGCCGATGAGACTCACCATCTTGCTGAAGTGGTATTTGCAGTAGCCGCAGTACTTGACATTGTCGACCTCCAGCACTTCTTCCTCACACAGCAAGCCTGCCATTTGGGCACTAACCAAGAGAGGCTAAACTGAGAAGGGTGTGGCCACAAACCAGATCAGACTCCTCCCTTTTCTCCTCTCCGACCCTGGCTGGGGCAAAGCCAAGACCATCCAAGGAAAGCACTGCTATGATCGCCACAGATAGCAGCTAGGATGAACTCATTTGGCTGTCATCCATGGCAAACATCAGAGGGGGTTGGTACAGCTAGCCTGGAATCCCAGAGAACCCTAGAGGGGGAAGTGTGGAGGCAGGCAGGGGTCTTACCAGGTGACATGGAAAGCTTGTCGACATCCATGGCGGTTACAGGTCATGCAGGCTCCCGAGGCTGCCTTGCTCTCCCGGCCCTGCTCCTCGCAGATGTAACAGGTCTGCAGGACACAGAGCAATCGTCTCCTCCTCCCTTCTACCTAAGGGACCCTTCAATTCCATTCTCTCTCCATGATCCCAGGTCAGTGCTATCCAATAGAACTTTCTGTGATGATGGAAATGTTCTATACTGCACTGTCTGATATAGTAGCCATGAACCACAGGGGCTATTGAGCCCTTGAAATGTGGCTGAGGAAATGAATTTTAAATAATACTTAATTTACATAGCCATATGTGGTGAGTGGCCACCATAACGAATAGCACAGTCCTTGGATGGTGAGCCCTAAAAGGCCAGGGACCATGTTTACCTTGCTCACTGATGAGCCTAGTCTCATCTCTGGCCTTTTATGCATGTTCTTCCTTTTGCCTGGAACCTGAAACCCTATGCTCAAGACTGGCTCCTTCTCAATCCCCAGGTCTTAGCCTAAATGTCTCTCTCCTTGACCACTTTATTTAAAGGAAGCCCCCCATGAGGTATTCTTTATCTCAATATCTCGTTTTCTTCACAGTACTCACCGTAAACTGTACTTTATTTGCTTGTTTATTAATAGAGCCTTCTCACACAACAGTGTGAGTTCCATGGAGAAGGTAGCACATCTCTCTTGATCAATACTGAACACCAGGTTCCTGGTGGTACCTTGCCCCAGATTTGGCACATAGTAGGCACTCAGTAAAATGTGTTCAGTGCATGAACAAACAAACTTCTTGCTAAAGGTCTACCCTCTGGCAGTACTTGAATTCCAAAACATGAGCATGTGTCTGTCAGTCAGTACTCTCTTCCTGAGTTCCTTGAAAGTGTTGGCTGGACACAAATTACACTGGATGAAGAGAAAGGTGGAGGGACCCAGCTAGGGAGGGGGCTGGTATGGGCACAGCAGGGGCCGCTGACCTTGTTGAAGCGATCATGAGGCACATACTGCAGCACGATGGGCTCCATGGTGAGCACGTTGGCAAACTGCACCTCAGGGATGTAGAGGGCACACACCACATGGGCCCAACCTGGGGCAGTGTGGGGCCGGCCTCAGCTGCGATGGCAAGCCTGAGACCCTGACCCCTCACAGCCCCACTGCAGACAGTCCCCTCCTCCATGGCCTTCCCATCAATTCCAGTGCCAGCTAGGAAAGGGAAATAGCCCTCCACCCCACTCCTGAACTTCCCAGACCCTGCTCAGGGGCCTTGCTGACCTCAACAGATGAGCTCTGGAGCTCAGGGACCCCTCACCTCCATTGTCAGTCCTCTTCAATGCCCCGTCTTTGTGTGGGCACAGCTCACACCTCTGCCAATGCAAGGGGGCACAGGGATTGAGGGGGCCTTTCCAAAGGGGGGTGGGGGATCTGCTGAGCTGGCCACCCCCAGAACATTCAAAGGGCCCCAGGAGGAAATGATAAGTTGTCTATGGGGGAATGGGTGGGGGAATAGAGGAAACAAGATGGGCCATGAGTTGGTAATTGTTGAAGATGGGTGATGGGGACATCAGGTTCATTACAGTATTCTACTTTTGTACAGGTTGGAAACTTCGTAATAAAAAGTTCAAACAAGCAAACAAAAGTAAAAGGCCCTGTGCCTGAGGTGGGGCAGAGGGAGGGATGAGCTGAGGAAGAGATGGGGTTGGTGATAGGTATGCATGAAACAGGAAGTTCTGTGTGACAGACAGTCCCACCCTAGCCTCACAGTGCCTTAGCTTAACTAGGGGAAATGCTCAGGTGTACGGGTGGGAGGGGGGAGGGGAGCCTCAAACTCACCACCCTGGCTGCTCGCTCCTGAGATTCACATTTCCGGCAGAACCAGGGTCCTGTTGGCACCTGGACGATGCCATAGCAAGCTGGGGGTCAGGGAGGAGAGTCACAGGAGCAAATCTGTCAGCAGTGGCTTTTCCCAGAGTAACTGGGGGTGGGGGTGTGTGACTCTAAAGGACTAGAGCCAGTTCCAGCAGGAGGGGCTGCTTCCCTGCCTGGGGGTTACTCATTAGCCAGTAGGACCACAAAGAATGCCCAACAGCACACAGCCAACCTTCAAGAACTCCAAACAGAGGTGGGAAGTCTGAGTCCTTGACCTTAAACTCTAGAAGATTCTCCCCCATGCCCTTTCTGGACCTGTTTCCCAGCTCCTGCCATAGATCACCGGGAATGGAGAAAACCAGAGGGACAACATTTACAATAGTCAAACACGTTTTTGTTGTTATTGGGGGGGCATTTCTTAAAGGGACAGTAGCGAAGAGGCAGAGAAGCTGGGGGTCCAGGGACTTTATCTTCTGCTTCTAACTATACTAGGTACAGGTCTAAGGTCAAGGCTGAGGGCAGGTGCACTGCAGGTAACCTATAGCAGAGTGGCGGGAAGAGCCTACAGCGACAGCATTAAGGGCTATCCCAGGAAGGGGGTGGGCACAGCTGGCTGTGCCAAGCAGGTGGGAGATGCCAGCCTGCGCCCTCAGCAAGATTCCTCAAGGAGTTAACTCCCGAACCATGTGCTGCTGGGGGAAACTCCAAACCTCCCTCTTCTCGATTCTGGCCCCCGGTACAACCTCTCTTCTATCCGTTCTCTTTCCCGGAGGATTTTAGGAGTCCCCTCTCCCCTGGGACCCTTCTCCTCCCTTCCCAATTCCGCTCCTCCCAGTATCCGGAAGCGGGAGGGGGAATGACTCCCCCTTGACCTCTCCCTCCCGGAGCCCGGACCAAAATAACCGGTCAGGAGGGGGACGCCTCGAAGGTAAACATTCCCCGACACTGGCGGTGTGGTGCGCGGAGAGTACACTCATTGCCCCCTAGACTGTCCCCAAACTCCCTCAACTTGGGGTGGGGGGCGCGGGACTGGAACAATAGGCAAGAAAACAATGCCTGACCCGGTCCTCCAGGACTGGAAGCGGGGAGACCCCCAACGCCTCCCTTTCCTTCAGGTGGGGTGGGGGAGGGGCGCCCAAGCCCAGGGAGGTCTCCGGAGGGCGCGGGGCCCCGGCGC